TGACGATGGTGTATAATACTCAGAGTTACTTGGTTTTGGGGCGTTGTCCATCGTACGGTACTCTAGAAACTAGAATACAACCTTTCGGCAACTGGATCTGTTTCCGTCCTCAGGTTGGGGGAGGAAGACACCTACTCAGTTGCGTCCAGTGATTAAGGTTAATCTTTCAAGGGGACCCAACAGAGTAGGCGTCTCCCCCCACCTTATCTGAGGATGGAAACAGATCCTGTTGCCGAAATGTTATATTCTCGAGTTTTTTTTAGAATACCGGACGATGGACAAAGTCCGAAAACCCAGTAAGTCTGACTCTTTTTGCATGTTCCTGTATATTCGGTGTCTAAGTTGAACAAATGTTAGACTTATTATTACGTAATATCACCTCGTACTTGTTCCCTTTTAATATATTTTAATGCTGTACGTACACATATACGCGTGCGTTAACAAATAAATTCACAGTAAAATGTGATGAATAGTGAAATTGGGCGTAAAGATTGTATGCAGTGAGAGAAGAATGACCAGAGAGGAAAGAAGTGCTCCACTTGGAATAAACACGTTTTCCATTTAGGTTCTTTGTGATTTTGTATATCTACATAAACTTAAATAAAGACTGTAAATTTTAACATCCTCTGTGCTTATGTAATAATTTTGTGCTTTGAGTCATTTTGAGAAAGTCGATAAAGTTGGCGGTTGAGCCTTATAAAAGCACGTGCTGAACTGGATCGATATAAACAAAAATTAAGTGCTTTCATTCTTACTGACAAACACAGTTCCCTCGTAACGGATTCATTACATGCACTTTCTGCAAAGAGTGTATCAATATCGGCCGTTAACTCTGTGAAGTAATGAGTAGTCGTATTTGAGAAGCCAGGCACAAACAACCCTGAATATAATCATGTAGTAATTTAACAGTTACACCTATAGGCTTGCTGTTGGTTGGATTAAAAGAATGAGTAATTATTTCATTCAAAGAATAACATATACAGAAATTCATAATATCATCTCTTGCTTTATATGAGTGTGAAATTATTCCTGAAGGAAGAATGCAGATTGGTCACGTTAAAAAGGAACTCTCTAGGAAAATATTTGGACCTACGAGAGATTAACAAGAGACTGGAGAAAATTACGCAGTTAGAACTTCGTAAATTTAACTTTTCTCTTAAGGTCGATATACTGCTCAAATAAAGATAGTTTTGCATGCGAAATGTCAAGTACGAGTTCGGAGAAGGAGAAATTCGCGCAGAAATATGATGAAGTAATTTCAAGGAAAGAAGCAACTTGGAAGACCTAGACCTAAATAGCAGTGTGAAGAGATGATTAGATTAAATGGGCTCAAGCATTATTCTGTGAACACGATAATGGTACCTTTGGAATTTCTCGACTGCCGGAATGGCCATCACGGAAGCTGCTTTATCAGTAGACATAAATGCAGGATCTTATGAGGGGTGATTTTTTAAGGTGGGGAGTTGTTAGTTGTAGGACCAACCCACAAGCTGGAGGACCACCCATTGTCGGCTGTCCGCGACTGATTTTTCAGTATAGTCATAGCAACCCTCGATATCTGAATGCCATCTCCTCCATCGGCAGCCNTGCATCCGTTCTGCGGTGGTATGACTCACGGCAAATTGCAGCCGCGGCGCGCACTTGATTGTACGCACTGTACATATATACGGTATAGCGGCATTGCATGTCACCCAGAAAGCCAGCTTTCCAATACGTAAATGCTGACCCATGTAGCAATACTAGCAGACGAATCCGAAACACGTGATAATGGCTCAGTGAGCCGAAACCTGTTGTGAGAAACGGCTACTGTATAGTGTATACGTCCTTCCTATTCTGATGACGGACTAAAATAAAGATCTTTCGCACGCACACAATATGACGCTAAATTATAATAATTCTTGATACTGAAGGATTTTATAAAAAATTATTGAGCTGCATGCTGGAAGACTGGAGTTCTATTCCCGGATGGGGGTGAGAGTTTCAATTTTCCACAAAGTCCAACTCAGCTCTTAGGCCCACGCATCCTCCTATCCAATGGCTACAAAAGGCGTTTTCTCCGAATATAAAGCGACTGGAGCGTGAAGCTGACCATTCACCTCCATCTAGTACCGAGGTTAAAGATGGTGGAGTTATACCTCCACTCCCATTAGTCAAAGAAGCACAGGGACAACTTCATCTTACCTTTACATTCGCCACGGAACGCAGTCATTCCTGAAAGCGCGTTATTATATTAGCAGGTCAAGTGATTTGAATTTCATACGTTTGTGGATTTTGTAAGGGGCACGAGGTAGCGCAGTTGGTTGAGGCATTGTACTACAAACCGGAAGGTCGCGGGATCGAATCCCGATGAGGTGGATTTTTTCAATTTACCTAATCCTTCCAGCCACACTATGGTCCTGGGGTCGACTCAGCCTCTAACAGAAAAGAGTACCAGGAATATTCTTAGGGTAAAGAGCTGCCGGCGTGTAAGGCTGACAACCTTGTCGCCATCTATGAGCCGATTGTCTAGAAAATGTGGGAACCTCAACATCTCACAAACCTATGAGCCTCCACGGCCCGTTACAGGGTTACATTTACTTTTTTTTTTTTTTTACTTTTACATTTGTGGATTATGAAGCTTCTATGCCATGTTGACAAGATCCCTCTACTGCATTCTATCCTGACGTGGAGTACCACCTTCAGATGCTCAGACTAAAATTTTGTTTGCATTTCCTGGCATTGCAAGAAATTCGATCGAACTCTCCTTTACGCTACCAGTGGTTGAGGGGGGGGTTATATTAGATGTGCTTTCAAAGCCACCATTTATCAGAATAGAACGTGTCTTGTGCCATATTTGCGAGTTTTCTATTTAAACAGCTGTAGAGCTCTGCAATCTTCATGTTTCTTCCTTCTTCTTCTTCTTCTTCTTCTTACTCTACATTTCGCATTATGCCATCTGCTCTGTTTTCCGTCAGAACAAATTTGGAATTGTGGATTTCGTAGACAGTTGGTAGGACTCCTTGGACGGGTGACCAATCCTGTCGCAAGGCCGCTACTTGCACAGAACAACACAAACATTCAAGAAACGCCGACAGACATCTATGCCTCAAATGGGATTCGAACCCACGATTCCAGTGTTCGAGCGGGTGAAGACATTTCATGTCTTAGACCTTGCGACCACTGTGATCGGCCAATATTTACTGAGGCGTGATATTTTCTGCAGTACGTAAATGAAAGGGCATACTTTTCGTTAAATTTGAATCCAGTGACCTCAATAGATAAAAGTTTTAAACGTATTTTCTGTGTGTTCTGCTTCTTCGGTAGATCTTATACGTATAAGTCAGGAAAATAAGCTAAGAAGAACAAAATATTTCTCTCTTTAAAATCTTTGAGACCAAGGAAGAGTCCCTTCTCTACCTGTAGATTTCAGACAGAGGAACATCACAGCCAAGTAATTATGGCGTGTAATTAATTATTGTTGTCTGCTTCTCCAGAGGAACTTTGTAAAATAAAAATTAGATGCAGGAAAAGTGTTATTTTAATGTGTTACGAAATGTATTCTAAATTGTATACGGATGTACTTTTTCATTCGTTGCTGCCGAATTAGGGCATTTTGAGGGTTTTGTAACTCGCTAATGAAAGAGATGTGGAACGGCATCCCCTGTTTCTAAATGCATTATCTTGTCTTTCTTATTTACCGTCAAGTTAATGACAGTGGTGTCAGGGGGACATTTCTTCTGTCGGAATGGTCTCATTTAGCCTTCACGGACCAGTAACAGCTTTTATTTTTTCCCTGTATCAGTCACTTGTTCTGCATTTCCCCCCATTTCTTCTCCCCTTATCTAAATTACTATTAAGAAACTTAATTCAAGTTTCTGCTTTAATGGAGAAGCCTATTAATTCGTAAATTTCTTTTAGTCTCTCTGCTAATCATGGCTAAAAAACAACTATATATATAGTCAGATGGTCAGCCATACCACCAACAACAGAAAGTGGCCCAAAAATAATGTAGAGTTCTGAATAATAATAATCTCTTAGTGCCTCGATATGAAGAGTGGCGATTCGGAACGCTGGTATAGGCTACTGATGCTTATGACTTGTTCACGCACTCATCATTATATTTTATTAATTTTTCTTAACCGACTATGGAGCTGAATCATTCTTGAGATTCCACCAGTTGATTAGATTTCCATAACATATAATTAATGTAAGAATATAAAATTGCATTTCATAACATCTCATCTTAAAATATTTTGAACAGGAACTTCTTAATGGTATAAATTGCCTTAAAAGATCTTAAAGATAAGTATGTGAGGGTGTGGGCTCGATATTTTCATCTGTCCATTGGATCCAGCGTCGGGTTCCTGTGAATAGAGAAATTAAATTTCAGGTTCTGTTTAAGGCAGATAATTTTTTTCAACATCTGGGCGATTATCAATAGTTACAGTATTCATAAACATACTATTCGGTACCATTCCATCTGTAACTAGGTCTTACGTCATACTTCTAGAATGGATCTTTAAGAGATATCGTGTGAAAGCATGGAGAGGACTTAACTGGCTGAGGACAGAATAATATAGGATGTTCTTTTGAATATGGAAATGAACCTACAAATTCTATAAGTCTTTCGGTTTCTTAACTGACTAAGCGACTAATTGCTTCGTGTGAATTACTCTGCTAGATGGAATTAAGTAAAGTAATGGTCTAAAATAGCCGGTCACGGTAGCCGATCGGTCTAAGGCATGCACTGTCTTCGCTCGCTCGGAAGCCGGGATCTTGGGTTCGAATCCCACTCAGGGCATGGATGTTTGTGTGCGTTTTTCTGTGTTTGTGTACAGGGAGAGGCCTTGCGACGAGCTGATCACTCGCCCAAGGAGTCCTACCGAATGTGTAAGATCTAGAAAAACCAAAGTGAACGGAGTTCATGGAGGTAGGCCTAGGCCCACTGGGGCTGTAGTGCCAAGAAAAGAAAAATGGTCTAAAATAAATTTTAACTCATATCGTGTTTTATTTTCATGTAGGTTTGTGGCTGCTACTGCAAGAGGATTAGGAAGTGCGGTCCGTGTTTACACCTGATGAGATACATCTCAGGACTTAGGAGGGAACATCTGCATAGAAGTCTGAAGAAATGCTGGACACAGTGACCGAAAATTATTTGGATGATTTAGCTGTATCCTTTCATGCAGATTTCTGAAGATTTTCCACAATGTCAACCTTAAGGACATCCAGTTACGCTACAGGAAATTTAAAAGATGGGATAAAATAATCTCAGTGGAATCGTGGAAAACTGTGAAGTGCGACGGTGAGTCTGACGTTGATACGGTTATTATACGAACTGGACGCATGATCCGTGATCTTCAAGTGCAAGTTATACTTCTGAAATTCAGCAATTTTATTACAAATCTTTATAAGTAAACACCTGAATTCAGATTTTAAATTGTTTATTACATATTCACAATTTATTTGAGGTTTAGGATCGGCTGTATAATTATTCCGGTGTGGTAATGCGTGTGCAAGACGTTGAAGTGGTTTCAGAGATCCAAATATGAACAAGTATTAAATTCAAACTTCACCACATGCGTAAAACAAATTAAAGTTCTACTGTTAATTCTCGTGGACATATTTAATCGTGTGTGGATACTACGAAATAAAAATTCTTACTCCATTCAGTGCATTGTGGCTTACGAAAGTTCTCCATGTTGGAAGATGGCACCTAACATCCATATGCTGCAGAAGGTAAGTTACAAAAAGTCTGTAATTACTTAGATATCAGAAAACATACTTGTATATCTGATTGATTATAAATTTTTCAGTTACGGTGAACAGCACTATGTCACAGCACCGCCATTACTGCAGGCGTCAGAAAACAGCAGAACGCGTTGTAGGAAATTATTTTTCATAATGGCACATTACATATGCGTAATCCTAATGGAATACTTAAATATTCAGAGTTTCGTCCTGAAATCTGAAATGAAAGGCTTCTGGGGTAAAGTTCAGCAGTCTTTACAACAATGAAAACAATGGTTTCCAAATGCCGTTTTGTGATGTAACATCCGGTATTGAACTTAATGTTTATTTCTTACTGACACCAACATATCGTTAAGAAAGTCGATTAACGTTATCGATGTACACTGCATAAGGTCATAAATTGTATTATTTGCAAAGCTACAGCGTTCGATGCTCTCCGTAAACGTAGTGTTGGCAAGCCTGTGATTTTCAGAGAGTTGTGTGACCGCCTCTCTGGTTTAGTGGTCAGAGTTCCTGGTTACAGATCCAGAGGTTGGAGTACGATTCCAGGTGCTACCAGATTTTCTGAGTAGTGGGTCTGGAACGGGGTCCACTCAGCCTCGTGAGCATAATTGAGGAGCTATTTCAAGGAAATAGCGGCTCCAGACTAGAAAACCCAAATTAACGGCCCTGGGGATTCGTTACTCTGACCACGCGACACCCTCTATTAGCTAAAGTTGGCACTAACTTCGCAGACAAGCGGCGGCCGCTCCGTCGGTATAGTTCACTTGCAGACTAAAGCCACGAAGTTTGTTTTATATGGATAAATCTGCCTCTGAATAAGTTGTTTAAACGTTTAAAGTGGGAAGACTTATTCTTTGATCACAGAAGGCAGAGATAATAATGTCCTATAGTACGTGTATTAGCATAAGAGGCACTGCAGTTCCGTCCTTGGAAGAACGGATTAGTAACGCGACAACGGCCGAATTCGTTTCCCGGCGCGAACGTTTGGTCTGATCTACTCACTGCTGGACCCCGATAAGCTACGGCTCCCAAACTCGTTCTCTGGGGACAAAATCGATGGGAACGTTAAGCTGACCACTTCACTCAGTACCGAGATTCAGAACACGCGGGTTCTACTTCTTCTGCACCTTAAGTGATGTAACTGTCGAAATTTATTATTTTCTTTGAAGTAGAAAGAATGTACGACGAATATAACTGACAATACATGTATGAGCTTTGTTTTAAAAAAAGGTAGCCTCACATTGTTTACGCTAACCCCATGCTTGAGGGCATGCAATAGCGTAGTTGGTTGAGGCACTGTGCTACAAGCCGGCAAGTCGCGGGTTGGATTTCCGATGAGGTGGGTTTTTCAATTTACGTAATCATTCCAGCCGCACTATGGCCCTGGGGTCAACTCAGTCTCTAACAGAAATGAGTACCAGGAATCTTCCTGGGGAATAAGGACAGCCGTCGCGTAAGGCTGACAACCTTACCGCCATCTGTTAGCCGACTGTCTAGAAAATGTGGGGAGCCTCGACCCCTCACACTCTTATGGGCCTTCGCGGCCTGTTACAGGGACAGCTTTACATTTCTTTTACCTAACCCTAGGCTTTCCCAAGCGTACTGGTCTCCTAGTGGAGCCGGGATAGCGTAGTCTGTATAGCGACTGGCTATGGGCTAGGACCCCAAGTGGTCGGAGTTCGAGTCCCGGTAGGGTGAAGAATTTTCTGTTCTCCACGTCGTACAGACCGGCTCTGGGGCCCACCCAACCTCCTATCCAATAGGTACCGCGGGCTCTTTCCCCGGGGATAAAGCGGCTGGGTCGTGAAGCTGACCACTCACCTCCAGCTAGTACCGAGGTCAAGAAAATGTGGATCTATACATCCACTCCCCCATACGCCTTCATGGCGTAGTGCTTAATTAGTTAAGCACAGGGACAACTTTACCTTTACCTTACTGGTCTCCTAGTGACAACTGTTCAGCCTGATGGTATGCAGGAGGGAATTCCGGTAACTGTAGCAGTCCGTCGGAGGTCCGTGACATGGGGCTTGGGCGCAGAGTTATATAGATTTATGATAACCCGTATTCAGAGGCCACATGATGCGAAGATGCCTGATGGGGGCGATGTTCAGGTGTCACAAAATACATGCAGGATCCGAATCATCCAGATGACCATGACATGGCGACGCTCAGTGTCCTCCAGTTGTGTATTCCCCGTATAACAATCCATAATCCATTATTCGTATCGTGTATGGGCGTTTGCAGAGTTGGCTGGAATGAGAGGGGAGGGGAGTGGGGTGCAATGACATTCAGGCGGCGCCCAACGGTGGGCTGAGGCACGGGAGTAATGAGTATCACATACATGAAGATCACGTCACACCCCGTATATACCCACCACCACCATGACGATGATGATGCGCGCCACGCCATGTTTTAAACATAATACTGCCACTACGCGTAAGAGTGGCGACAAGTCATCATGTGCATTAAAAAAGGAGTCAAGTCTCGTGCCCAGCAAGTTCTATACTATGCCAGTGTTGTTTCTTGTTGTTTCCCCTGTCGTGTTGTCGTAGTCTTTCCACAATTTATGTGGAATGTCACTGAACATTTCTCCAAATCTTTGTTATTACTTTATAACTCTCTTCTTTTTACTTCAGTTTTAAAAGTCTGGCTCACACGTTGGGCTCGGACGCGATTACCAATTCTTAATACTTACAGGACCATAACTGAGGTAAATTGGGCGTGAGGCCAACAACCTCATACCGTAAAAACTAAATCGTTCAGATATCCGAAAAAGGAAGGCCAGGTCTCACAAAGGGCTGTCGTGCCAGTGATGATGATGATGATGAAGAAGGTAACGACGCCTTACGTCATTGCATATAACTGTTACAGAGTCTTTTAGTAATGCCTCGCTCAGAAACAGCAGCCTATTCTGCTTAGGATAACTTCGGTGTGTAACAGTGTCAGGATAAGAGTTTTCTGCATTGTTCTTTTTAATTACAGTTATATGAGGCTTGTCATCGATTGATTTTATATCTCAGTTGTCACGGAGAATATACAGACTGAGACAATGCATTCTACTAAATAAAATTCAGTAAGGAAAGGACAGTTTGGAAGACATATAAGCAGATGGAAGGATAGTATCAAAGCGGATCTTAAAAGAGATTTGGCATAAATGCATGGGCTGCAGTTTCCCAGTCTAGAATAATGTTAGATGGCTGGCTTTTTTTGAACATGGTAACGAACCTCAAATTTCCGTGAAAGAATCGGTATTCTGAACAACTATCAGCGTTTTAAGAATGATTCTGCTGTGTGGAATAAGGGGTTAATGCACAAAGCAATACTTATTTAAACAATTTGTAATTTCAGTTTTATTCTGCTCTTATTCAAGTATAGCAAATTTACTGGCCGTTTACAAATAAAGACTTAATCCCTTTTATCATTTACGTACCCAAGTACATAGAACGAAAAAATAAATGCGCCTCAATAAAAGCAACAAAATCAACAAATCATGGTGTGACATATCAAATATGACTGTTCCTCTCCTTTTCTAATTCTGACGTAGAATATGTCCACTGCAGCTGTATTCATTGTATTTTTTAAATGTAATTAGTATAATATGTATTGCAGTCGTGCAGCATTTTTAAAAAACTACATTTCATTGTTTTATAAATTCCAGAAGCAGCCGCTGTGGTGAAGGGGTGGGCGAAAACTGGTTTTGTGGCAACATTTATACCCGTATTGTACGAAGCTTTAATAGTAGCAAGTGTTGCAAATTACCTCCATGTGGCAAACGTCATATAGTACTGCAACAGTAGTTGCTATTTTAACTTGTTTAATTGCGTGATGCACAGTGGAGGGGCATATTAGAAATTGTTAGAATTAGGCTTAAGGCTTTCATGACTGAAAATTTAGATTGTGGTGTTATGGATTATGGCACCGTGTAGACTGGTAGGTTTTTAACAACGTTTATAAAGTACGTGCTGTGTTCCACATCAATGTAGCCTGAAGATGGAGGCGGCAGGGTTCTCCGAAACGCTTATATCCACCTACAAGGCTATACGTTACCATAAACCAGAAAATAAACGGCTGTTACAAATCTTCCTTATTTTCCTTACGTAAAAATACATAAAGCCTTCGTTATAACGGATCCAGATATAGAGGACAAAATCTGGCTATTCAAATTGTGAATTTTTAGAGATGTTGAGGAACTACTAAGATTTTGTAAAATTATTTAAAATGAAAATAAAAGAACCCCAATATAAAAACGGTTATATAATCACATTGTGTGTTTCTGTGTTTATTCGTATATGGGCTATGGTGTTTCATGGACTGGATGGATCTGGCTCAGGATAAGGATAAGTTTAGGGATTTTGTGAACACGGTAATGAACTTTCGGGTTCCATAAAATGCTGGGAAATTCTTGAGTAACTGTACAATTGGCGGCTTCTCAAAAAGGGCTGAGCTCCATGTAGTTGGTTGGTTGGTTGGTTGGTTAGTTAGTTACTCGCTAAGGTTAGCCGTGCACCGTTGTAACCCGTAGCGTTATCACAGTAAGAGTCAATTACAATACAAGTTCTTGAAATTAGTTTTAATGCACAACTGACCCTGCATGTTTCGAAATTATGCCATTCTTTGGGGTACATACTTTGTAACAGAAAAGAATAAAGAACAATTCCAAGATCGCGTACAAAACGAACACTTTTCCGGTAGAGTTTCCTGATGCAACCTTGTCTTTTCGGAATATGTCATTACACACCAAAAGAAATGCTTCAGTTGTATCGGCAGAAGGTTGCGGTTAAAGTAAAACAGAATAAAAACCTAGTTCAGTTCACAATGCATTGAAATCATATATACAGTAGTTTTGTTTCGGTTTAGTTTATCTCTATGTTATATTACGACGTTGAATATATATATATATATATAAAGGTAAAATTGTTCCTGTACTTAACTAATTAAGCACCGCACCATGAATGCGTATGGGGGATTGGATGT